TCAAGAATCAAGCCTTAGGTGTGCTCTTGAAGAAGCTATGTTTCTTCAGAGGTAAAATTTTGTTTCCCTCTTTTGGGTTTCTTGAAATTTCACTTTTAGTTTACTTAGTATGCAAGGGGAGCCTTAGTGTAATTTGTAAAACTGTTCTGGGGTTCGAGCTGTGGAAATGGTCTCTTGCAGAAATGCAGTATGAGACTGCCTACAATAGACTCTTGTGGTCTGGCCCTTCCACGGACCCTGTGCATAGAGGGAGCTTAGTGCGAAAGTTGCCCTTTTAGTATGAGGATGATATGAAATGAAGTTCATATCAATGACAACTTGTTTGGGACTGAGGCATAGTTGTTGTTGTTCTGTTGAAATCTAGTTTGCAAAGTTCGAATCTTTTCTATGTTGAAGATGGTTTTACTTGCTGGATGTTTGCTTCTTGATTGCTATAAAAAAAGAAGAGAAGTTTTGGTTAATATATTTCCTTTCAGCTTGAGTGGATTCTTTACATAAGCCTGAGTTGGAAAAGATAAATGTTGATCTTGTACGTAGTATAGGGACTGGGGTGGTCTGAATTTTGTTTTGTCCTTTCAGTTTATTGGCGGTTGAATTGTGACCACCTTATCATATAAAAGAAGAGGGAGGGGCTTCAATTTAGTTATATAGGTATTATAGGTGATGATTGAAACAATTTACAAGAACTGTTGCTTTTTTGACCTGGGACTGTACTAATAGCATTTGTTGATTGAGGTAATTTACAATAATACAGTTTGATGATTGTTGCAATTTGCAACGTGGTTTGTTTTCGGGAGATTTAGTTCTTGGGTTCTCTATAATAAAGATCAGTTTAATTCCTCTGTTAGAGGTATGCTGAAACTTCAAATGTTTTGCTAGAATGAAGTCTGCATCTTATGGATTAGTCAGCTGTTTCAATGAGTGATTTTGATCTTTAGATTAAATTTCACAACAGCAGCAGTATAACATGTTAGCAACTATACTATTCTTCTTTTTTGATAACCGTGGTGTCCTGGGCAGCTTGTGCACCTTGACAATTCCAGGGGGCACTTGCTAATAGACTCTTTGTTAGCTGCTATTCTTTTGTGTTTATGTTGATGAAAGAAAATTTGATCCATTCAAAGATGGACATCCTAGGATCATCTGTACTAAGCTTATGGACATAAGACTTGACATGCATGCAGCAATTAGTATTATCTTACAGTTGAGTTGGATAACCACATATCTCTGTGCACAATTTGTTGTTTGTGTTGCTTCCAGACACAAACCATACATTTGGTTATGGCAAGAAAACAATGCATTTTAAGATGTGTTTTAACAGTCCGAGCATTTCTTTTATGAAAGATGTATTTAAAGTTCTACTTATCCTATAATAGGCTACTACTTGTTGCAGAACATTTGTTATGCCTGCGAGGATGTGTATCAATCCGATCCACAACAAGAAAGGAATTCTTCACGGGTCCGGCAATTCAATTTCTGAGGAAACTGAGGAAAGGTAATTTTTCTGTATTAGTGACATGTTGGAGTTCTTTGATTAGGTTGCATCCATTTCTGAGGCAAGTTACATTTTCATTAATAATGGCAAGGTGGAGTTCATCAAATTGTTGCATCCAATTCTGTGTAAAATGTACGCATTAGAAAATTGATAAAATGTCTCTTATAAATTATCTAAAATATACGTCGATGAATTTAATAGAACGGCAGAATATATATGTGATACATTATAGTCGTGCATGGCCGTATTCAGTAATGAGTAAGTAGAGTTTCAATATTGTTGTTTCAGTTGTGCCTAAGATACAAAGAACTAGATTATGTATGCTGATGTGATATATGTTTGACAAGCATTTGAATGCTACTTTTATCTATTTCTGGATTACCTGTTAAAATAAATTGTTTAACAATATTAACTTACTGACTTCCTATGTGTCCATCTAATTGTCAGGTGGGCGGATAGTTCGTGTGCTATGGATTCTTTGTATGATCTGGACCTCATCTCTGACACTGTACCTGTAATTTTAGACAATTCTGAAATGTGGCATCATGTCCTGGCAACAAGCATGAAGTTAGGTTCTAGAGGGGTTGCCCACGTTGAAGGAGTTAGCAAGACTGATCTCAAAGAAAAAAGTTCGTACTCAAACATTTTGCTTATCAATCGAACTGCAAGCCCGCTTTCTTGGTAAACGTCCTCTCTCTCAAGTTGCCCCCCTTCAAGTGATTAGACATTGTGATGGCCGTTGCACGAGTTTATCTTTTCTCTTTTCTATTTTTTCTTTTCTAGTGGAAGGATAGTATCCTCCTAGCATTTGGAACTATCCAGCCCATTCCATCAATGGATTTAATTCCATTGTTTTTTCTGATTGCAAAACCTGTATTTAATCTGTACAGGAAAACAGAAAAGAAAATATACTATGCCAAGATTAGTTCACGGCTGCTCAAAAGTTGTATTAGTTGTTTAATTTATTTATTTTTGGTTTGTATCCTTCATAAACCAGTTTGACGTTAGGTACTCGCTCATGTGCAAACTTTCATGTTCTAGGAGAAAATGGAGCTTGTAGCAGGGGATGATTTGCTTATATTTTTTTGACTTTAAGTATAAGACCTCGTTTTGAGTTCTAATAGATTTACTGTATATATTAATCATGGTAATCATTCAGGTTTGCAGAATGCAAGGATAGGAAAAATCACAGCTCCATTCTTCTGCCATATTCATTTCTTCCTTCAATGGCCGCGGAAAAACTACGATATGCAGCAGAAGAAGTTAGTTAACTGCATGTCCTTTAACTACTTAAATCTACTTTGTCTCTATCATCTGTGTGAAAATGAAATCCTTTAACACTGTTTTCTGTTAGCAGTAGAACTAGATTGCTGTCACATCTTTGACATGTTTTCTCTATATGTTGAGTCCACCGGATTAATGATCAAACATCATATCTTGAACCTTTTTTTTGTTTTAGAACAACAAATGCATATTATAGTTTCTTTCTCTATTAGCTTCCTTATATAATATGCTTCTAAGTTTTCCTTTGTTGCATAAATGGCTGTGAAAGTTACCGCCTTAATATGTTTTGATGGATTCTATCATTTTCTATAGATCAAGAAGCTGCTTGGTGATTATGATGCTATGCATGTTCGAAGAGGTGATATTCTGAAGACGAGGAAGGACAGGTTTGGGGTTGAACGAAGTAAGCACCCTCATTTGGACAGGGATACACGTGCAGAGTTTATTCTATGCAGGATAGCAAAATGGGTCCCGCCTGGGCGAACCCTTTTTATTGCTTCTAATGAGAGGACACCAGGTTACTTTTCTCCTCTGGCTGTGAGGTTAGTGATCTTTTCAACTCTTTTAGAGTCTTCCTGTCCTCTACTTGATCTTTGTATACTATAGAAGAGTAATATGCACTGTTTCTTTTGGTTGCTTTCTGCTTTATAACACTTTATTTCCTTATAGTCTTCCTAACACTAACTAGCTTCGGTACACTAGTACCTACAATGTACACTGCCTTTTTCCTCTGAAACATGTAGATGACAAGTATGTAAGGACTTCATAGTTTAATATAATGTTTCTGAGAGACTTTCAGATTTCTATCTGAAAAACTTTGCATCAATTAACTAGATCCTTTTGATTGCATCTTTAGCAATACCTTGATTAAATTGAAGTTGCTGGAGAAGAGGAGGCAGACTTGGATCTCGATGTCATAAAACCATGTATAAGGGAGATAGTGAGAGTGTGGGGTGGATTGGAGAAAATCCAATCACTTTGTACTTGGATCTACTTCATTCCTTTTGTCTCGTATGAGATATAGAGCATTCAGACCATTTGGATCTGGCTTTCTTGATAGAGAGCAGGGTAGAGTACGGCTGTTTAGTAAAAAAAATTGTTCCTGGATGCTCCCTGGTCATAGGATGGTTCTGCTGTGTCATCTGATTTAGGGAGTTTGTCTTGGATTAGCGCTAGACTTGACTTGTATACCTTTACTTAACAACAACAACAATGCTTCAGTCCCAATCAAGTATGTTCGGCTAGAGGAATTGTGACTTCTCATGTCGCTCTAGCCCTAAAAGCTCTGTACATTCTGTATTCACTTATAAATCTCTAGCAAGCCTATACCTTTACTTAAAAAGAAAATATCTGCTTAACTTGTAATGACCAGACAAAAGCAAGTTCCTTGATAAACGAATACTGTTGGTCGTAATAGGAGAAAATCCATTTGATCATCTTCTGGAAGACCGTAACTATTGCCTGCTATAATCTTTGTTCTTGTACCTACTATTTGCAGGTACAAGCTAGCCTATTCCTCAAATTATAGCAGCATTTTGGATCCATTGATTGAAAACAATTACGAGCTCTTCATGGTAGAAAGGCTTATTTTGATGGGAGCGAAAACATTTATCAAAACAATGAAAGAGGATGATAATGATCTCAGCCTCAGCGATGATTCTAAAAAGAATACCAAGAAATGGGAAATACCGGTGTATACAAGAGACGGTGAAAAATGTTAGCTCTCGGATGCTTGACCACTGGATTCTTGATGAAGAATACCGGCTATTTTGTTCTTCTGTTGTAAAGCAAAATCTTGTGGTTTCCTTTGTGAATGTCAGAGTTGTTAGGTACTAGTTGAGAAAATAGCCTGTTTCTACATGTTGTATGTATATTATGATATGGGCTTCGATTGGACATGGAGTCTAATTGAAAACATGCAGTGTTGATTGGGTCATTCTTTGTTAAATACATGAAAATGGTGCTGCCTGATCAAGAAATGTTAAATTTTATTGATAAGTTGATATATATATGGTGCTCTCGATACGAAGGAAAATGTTTTCCATGGGAAATAAGTATTTCTTTTTACTTATATTCTGGTGTTAGGTTAGGAGAATATATTGTCCCAAATCTAAGCAAATACCTTATTGAAGCTTCATCTATGACAAGTTGGAAAAGAAGATTGAAAAGAAAAGGACAAAAGTATCTCTATATATACTCTTAAATAAAGTGGAAACAGATATAAGAAAGAAGCTTCTATTTTCATCTCTTCATAACAACTAAACTTTTTATCATGCATAGAAAACATATTCTTACAACACCCTTTTTTTGTGGTTTATGCATTCGGTATCCAAAGCTCACTAGCCTGATTAATCCGACTTTAATACATTGCAAGGTTTACCAAAGGGGACGCAATTTCTACCAAGAGTTTCTCCATTTCCAAGGCTCTATTAACCTCTTTCAGTCTTATATGTACATGCATTTAAACACACCAGAGCAAAAATTCTAAAGCCTAATTGTGCTCTATCCATAAGTTGCTTTCTATTTACAATGAGAACAGCTTAAATGCTTTTTGTTTTTGTGCTATTCCAAAGTGTTGTTAGGCAAGAGTCTATTCCACAATGAAATCTCTTTGTCACTATAAAGCTTTCTGATTCCTCCATAAAAACCATCTCCTTCATTGCCAACTTCTCTGTGATCCTTTCTGTTTATCACTGTCTGCCTCCACCTCGATCCCGGGGTGTACTGTTTGAACTCCAACAGCACTGTCTCTGCGATGTAGCTAGTCATGAGAATAGTAATCATGAAATTTCCATTTAATGTACGTACTCGTTGAAGACATAATTAAGTAAATAATGTCTCTTTTATAGTTCAAAATAAGTTGTATTGGAGCTATATATCATGGAAAACCAGAAACTACACCTAACTATTACCCCTGCATTTGAATTTTTCGCCTTCCCTTTTGGGACTCGACAAGTTAACTTCAAATTATGTAACTTACCACTGGCATGACAATGGCAATTCAACTTGCTGCCACTACAAGATTCCAAGTGTCCAACAACTCCATACCACCAACCTGCAGAACAAAGATCAGAACTTTGCGAGTATATTCAATGCTAATAAGATGAAAAACAAATTGTTTTTGGACAAAAGCACACACCATAAGCAAACTCTTTGCTTTTTCTCCACTGAATCTCAATGTGATCATCAGGTTTTAGATCATCTAAGCAATCTGATACATGAAGAACATAAGGAAGAGTATCAACAGTTGGTGCTCTTAATCTATTCCATTCTATATCATCCTCTATTATTCGCCTCCCGTACGATGGATACCTGCAAAATTTATTCATTCACATTTAGGCAAAAGGGCTTAAAGAAAAAAAAAAGAATCTTGAACACATCTAACTATAGTCAGCTGATGTAAAACATAGAGCGTATAGCTCCGTGTATACCGGCTAGAAAATGTAAACAGTAAATCTGTCCGAATGTGTGTGTAAAGATTACCTTGCACTAAAAGTATTTGTTCTACAATCATAGCTAACTTCAGCATCATAGCAAGATAACATAAAACCAACATGTCCATTCTGTACCTTCAAAAGAAAAAGCATGATCTATCAGCATTTGGTTCAACCAAATCTGCTACATCAGGTAAATTTACGCTCACATTATGAAAAATTCCGTATATTGTCAGTGTATAAAAGTTAAACTCGTCTGCAATTACCTCGCGGTTAAAAACCTGAGCCGGGAACCAAAACTTTCCAGTCTCAAGAGAAAGGTACCAATCCATAATTGAGCTCATTTCTGAAGAATTTCCAATCTTGCTGTCATCTTCATTTCCTTTTGATCTGTTCCATAAAAGTTTCCTAATCTTCGAAAATTTCCCATAAAGATCTCTTTTTTTTCTTGATTTCTCCAAGATGGAAGCTTTATTTCTTGACACAACATAGCATTGCCATTCTTTATAAGCAGCAGAACCAATCAATTCACCCCATTTTTCCTTCATATGTTTCTCCCACAAATGATCACTTGTGCATTTTTCTCTCAAAGAACTACAAACAGCAGTCATATTACAAAGACCATTTGGTGGAAGCCTCTCAAAAATACATTCCAATGTCAAATCAGGCAAATCCAGTAAAGAAACTCCCTCTTCTTTCTCCACAACATTCTCTAGTTTTGACTTAACATGATCTGTCATAAGCGGCAAATTCAAGAAACTAATAGCATTTCTACCTTTACTAAACCATAAAGCTAAGAACTTTACAAGTTCTTCACTAAACCATACATTTGAGAAATTTCCCATTGGCTTGAAAAATGACTTAGAAACTAGTAATATGAAGGAAAAACAAGAAATCAAGAAAACAAGCATTGCATTCAAAGAAAAAAGATTGCTTTTTTAACTAAGCTAAGATAATCCAAGAAACTAGTTTATATATATAGTGAAAAGGGTAAAAAGAAAAATGCTTAGATTGTGAAAATTTTGGCTGAGTTTTCAAATGAGGGAGATAGGTAGATGTACCACACAAGACAAGCTTTAATTATTGAAACTCACAAAACCACAAAAAAAGAGAGATGAAAACAACCAACAAAAAGAAGTTGTTTCTTAAATGTTTTGGTATCCAACTACAGTAAATTGCCCACCAGAAATAAGAGGTGAACAAAATTTGAATGATTTGATCACTAAACAAAAAGAAAAAAAACTTAAGCAAGAAATCTCCCCTTAAAAAACTCAAATTTTATAAACTTTGGTAATACCAATCTTGATTTTTCCTCAAGTGACAATGAAAGACAAACAACACTACTTTCTTTTTATATCTACCTCATATATAATAAGACCACTTTTCCAAGAAACCAAAAGTATAAAAAATAGTTCAAAAAGAATTGACTAAATTTATTAAAAAATATTGAAAGCTAGTTAAAAATGAGGGTGAATACAAAGTATATCCTCAATTTCATCCAAGATTTTGTCAGGACTATGGTTCCCTCTTTAAACTTCTATCCCAATAATAACTTGTTTACATGGCACTTAAGGGTGTGGTCCACTGATTAATAAAGTAGGTTTAAATTTGAGTTAGAAGTAAAAATATTAATCAATCCATTTTATCTGTCACAGTATACTCAATATCTCGCTTTACGCCCTCGGATCACAGCCTTAACTTCACGTAAACCGAATGACTTTGAGAACCGTCCTTGACCACTTCCTAGCTATTAGCCTTCTTACTCGTTCGACGAACCTTTATTTTTCTAGAAGATATCAGAATTAGTCGAAATGTATACAAACTGATCCAATCTTTACAATTACGGAGTATATATATTGACTTGGTTGACAGAGTCAATGAATAATGTGGGGAAGACTTTAAAGAAACAAAAAACTTAGGTAGCAGAAATTAAAAAAAAGTAGGTGTCACAGTTCACCTAGTGATTAACCATATAGTTACTAGACATCATAGAAAAGGTAGGTGGCAGTTGCCTAACTTCTACTGATCTTACAACTGTAATGACCACTAACACACCATGTGGACTAAAAATCATTTGCCTGGCAAATCTCAACCGCACGTAGCGGAATCAGAATTTTCACTAGACTAAGGTGATTCAATAGTATATATATATCATGTAATTTTTCAGATATTCTACATTTTGACGAACTAAGATATTTGAAAGTGTTAAAAAATAAAAAAAAATTGTTACACACCTAATTAATAGAGTGTTAATTAAGATGTGATTTATGAGAGTAAATGACTATTATGCAGATATTTCTTATAATTATTTTTTTTAGCAAAAAAAATTAAATACAAATAATATTAACAGGCTATTGTGTTATTTAATGTTTGAAGAGTTGACATCATGGGTGGACAAGTTTTAATGTGGTTCACTAATCCAAGCAGCAACATTAAAAGCTTATTTTATTTTCCTTTTTCTATATTCTTTTCTGAATGTTTAATGCCCTCACAATTTGGTGTGATTTATTGTCATAAAATCTGAATGAAAATGACTACGTATAGTTAATGCATGTTATTTGATTTATTTTTCGAGCTACCTTATTAGGTTAATGAGACGCTGTCTATATGTTACTTAATCGAATAATGCAAAAATTCTCTAATTTGTCGGTGTACATAACATATACTCTATTATTCATTTATATGAAATTAATGAAGCTTCCTATTCATTGATTTAATGTTCGGTAGAAAAATGAAACAAATGACGAATTTGACTAAAACAATAGAAAGATATCGAGACATATTTTTAGTAAATATCACTTCTTTACGTAGGCGAAATCAAGTAAAGTTGAGGGGTTCATCTGAATTTTCTTTAGTAAAAAGTTACATTGTTTATGCGTAGTTAAAATTATTGTAACGTACATTACACATTGTCAAGGAGGCCACTTCATAGATTTCTCGATCGGGCAAGTTTGTGAAAAATGATACATATATATGACATTATATTAAGGAAACTCGTATTAGAAAGGAGGGAAGAGCGGAAGTGAACTGTTATATAATAACACAAACAAGAGCTCTTTAGTTTATACCTATGTTTATGGTAAGGTCATTCCACATGAAATCATCGGGTACTCAAGAACTTCAAAAATTTATCTTCATAAAAATGGAGTTTAATTCAATTTGTGCATGACTATTTTATCACATATATTTGATATTATTATTCTTCATATTGTTCTAAATCTTTAATGTTCTCCGTACAATGACATCATATCCTATCCAATGAATCTATGATGCTATCCAAAATGATAATTGATAACAGTATCAAAACTTTAAACACCAATCTTTTTGAGATTCAAAGTTTGATTGCATGTAGTATTGGAATCCCACTAAAGAAACAAAAGATAATATAGGAGGGGGGGGGGGAGGGGGGGGGGGAGGAACCAAATTTAACCAACTCTTGAGCAAGTTTATAAAGGAGTTGTTCTTTTCATTCTTTTAGGAGAGGTTCGAATCCACCTTTAATTATACACATATATCAACTTCAAATAAAAAAAATTCTAGGGTTCCTTAGTGAGGCATAAGCATATAATTAGAGTAGACGATATATTTTATATAGATTTAATTACATAATAGACGAATAAAAATACACATAAAAAAGAAAAATTAAACTTGAAATTGGAAGTGTCTAATAAAACACTGTATTAGGAAGTAAAGTGTTCATGAATTGCAACAAAACTTATGTATCTAAATTAAATATTTTGACATGTTAAAGAAATTAAATCTATAAAACACTAATCACCATTTCACTTAAACTTATTTGATTGAGCACAAGTATAATAAAAAACTTTCGAAATTTATGATTTTAAATAAATCATTACAAAATTACAGGTAAAATGGAACAAAGAGAATCAAAATGAATTAGGGGTTTAGGGTTTAAGTCTCTCAATATTCTATTTAGTATTCTTGTTTCTCCCCAAATCAAGAATTCTGAAAATCAGTATGTGGGCGATTCGTCGATCATCTTCTTCCCTCAAGTAAGCTTTCTCCTTTTTCTCTCATTCTGCATTTTGGGGTTTGTTTTTTTGTTCTTTGTACTTCACATTTGTCCGAGTCTCGATGGATAGAGTTACCTGATACTTGTGTCAGTTGAAGCTAACAGGTACCTCTAGAATTAGTGTAGGTGCGAGAAAGCTGGCCCGAACAATCATGATTATTTAAAAAAAGATGTTCTTTGTGCTTTTCTCGAAGTGATCTTTCTCCATTTACATATTTTGCTGCATTTTTTGGGTTCTATACATTTTTTGTTCCTTGTGACTAAAAGTCTCTATCTTTCACTACTAGAAATGTTATTTGTGTTTCCATATATCCGAGCATTGGCGGATAGAGTTATCCGGTACTTGTATTGGTGGGAGCTAGCAGGTCACGCAAGCTGCCCGGACACCATAGTTATAAAGAAAGTTATTTTGTACTTTATCTTATTACATTGTATATTCTTTTGGAGAATCACATTAACATATGCAATCACCTTTTTTGGGTAACTATTTATATGGGGGGAGGGGGATCAGTTGTTTGAGCTAGAGAGAATTTGTATGGAAGTAGGTATAGTGCTCTACTTAAAGTATCCTGTAAGAAAAATGTAGGTTAAAATTGGCTGGTGACATGAATTTGTAATCTAAGTAGGAAATGTAAGTTGTAGTGGCTAGGAAAAGCGAATTTTTTGTTTCATTAGCCTCATAATTTGGTGATACAAACAGGAAAGAAATTCTTGTGCATTTTCCACTTTTAATTGGAAATTTCAGAAATATGTCATAAGAATGCTGTTACATATTACAATTTATGTAGGACATAAATTGGCCTCGAGATTTCATTTGCTCTGTTCTATGATCTGTGTGTATGTTTTTGCATTCCTTCTCTCAATAGAAAGCTTTTCTGACTTAAATAACGGAAAAGTAATGGATGAATTTGGTCATGTAATTCAGGAAACAAGGATTTATATCAAGATCTTCTCGAATTAGTTGTATGATGAACAAAGTAACCGGTAGATATTCAGAAGGAAACAGTGAAGGGATTTCAAATGAAATATCGGATCAATATCTTTCTTTTAGGGGATTCTGCAAGACGGCACATGGTTCTTCCAAATTGTTCTTGGGATGGCAAAAAAATTTCTTTTCTTTGGTTGGCACAAAGAGCAGTAGTGAGATAGATAGTAACTTGGACGATGAGTTCTCAGAGCTCATGGGTCCTACTGTAACCAAAGGCATGCTAGAGAAAAATGTAGAGGCTGAGCTCTGTAAGGATGATGTTGATGGTGAAGATGTGGAAATGCCTCACGACAAACTAGAGTTGTCTGATAGCGAGTCTGATGCTAGACAAGGAGAATCTCTGAGAGAAAATGTTCCCATGGAATTGTTAAAAGCTATTACAGCTGCACCGGTTCTATCTCTTGATAGAGTTATGGATGAATGGATTGAAAATGGAAATGATTTGACAAGAACAGAAATAACTTTCATCAGGATTTATCTTCGTAGACGACACATGTATAAGAGGGCGTTGCAGGTATTCTTTTTGGTTTTATATTTTGTTCATTTATAGTGTCAGTTTTTACAAGTTCACTTATATTCCAGTTTGAGCAATGCTTAGGCAAATGAAATTAATTAAGCGTGAAGACTTGATAGAGATTACTGATTATCGTATAATTCAGAATATGCCACAAGCTGCATCTCCCTTTAGATAGAGATATTACAACTAGTTTGAAGTGGTACATATAAGCAAATCTTTCCTAATTACTACTGGCATTCTTTCCAGAAGCATTCTATTTTGATTGATGGTTTTTTATAAAAAAATCGTTACAACAAGATCAGAGACCTTTTATTGATGGTCTCCTTCGGAGACAGCAGCATCTTAAAACACTACATGCTAAGCGAACAAAATTGCTGCAGAACTCTTTGCTGGTTGTGTGCATGTTTTTGGGCTTTTTCTTTTTATCAAATCATGTTTCAATGTGAGAGTCTCTCTTTGGATTGGATACTTTGAATAATATATGGAAAATTTAAATTTTGATTTTAACTATTTATTGTAACATGGACGAGTTCATCACTATGCGCTTTAACATGGGTTGTATTGGGCTTTCCTTTCTTGCCCTCTTGGCTATATTGAAGATTTTGTGGTGTGGATCTTTTGTTTCTTTTTGAGTTGCCATGTCAGCTTGTGTTTACATATGAATTTGTTGGAAGATGACTTATATGAGAAATATTAAGTATTATGGTTCGGAGAACAAAATTTCCAATAACTCATGTTTATTACTCATCGGATTTGGTTTTGGAGTTATGCACTTGTTTAAGCTTCATGTAACAATAATTCAATAAGAGCTTGTAGCATTTGATTAGTTTATTGCTATGTCGCTGTTAATTGAGTATATTTTTCCTTCTCTTGGCAGCTCTTTGAGTGGTTGGAGTTGAAAAGGCAACTTATATTTACTGATAAAGATTATGCTTCTCATGTTGATTTAATTGCCAAAGTCCATGGTATACACAAGGCAGAAACTTATGTGGAGAGAGTACCGAAGTCTTTCAGATCTGAAGTTGTTTATCTAAGTCTATTGGCCAATTGTGCTTATAAAGGTTACATGAAGAAATCTGAGGAGATATTTAACAAAATGAGGAACCTTGGATTCCCACTCACAAGCTCTGTTTGCAGTCACTTGCTCCTTCTATATAAGAAAGATAAAACGAAGATTGTGGATGTTCTCTTGCTAATGAAAAAGGAAAACGTAAAGCCAACTGACATCATTTACCAAATACTTATAGATGCTAAGGGTCAATCTAATGATATTGCTGGAATGGAGCAAATTATTGAGACCATGAAGGCTGAAGGGATGGAACCTAAAATGTATACAAAAAGCATCATTGCGAAGCATTATATCTTTGGTGGTCTTGTAGGAAAGGCAGAGAATGTACTCAAACAAATGGAAGGAGAGATAGAGGAAAACCATATGGTCTGTCGGCATTTGATTGCTCTTTATGCAAATCTTAAAAAGGTTGATGATGTGCGCAGAATCTGGCAACTATGTGAGCCTAATGCACGGATTATTGATTGCATGACTGCTATTGAAGCTTTTGGTAAACTGCATAAAATTGAGGAAGCTGAAGCTGTCTTTGATAAGATGTCAAAAGAAGGAAAACATCTTACATCAAAGCATTATTATCCTCTGTTGTGTATTTATGCAAGTCATAAGATGCTGGCCAAAGGAAAAGATCTCGTCAAGCGGATGTCGGAGAGTGGCTGCCCGATCGGGCCATTAACTTGGGATGGCCTTATAAGACTTTATATTAAAGCAGGAGAAGTGGAGAAAGCAGACACTATTTTGCAAAAAGCTGCACATGTTACCTGCTTGAAACCGAAATTTACTTCTTATGTGGCTGTGATGGAAGAATATGCAAAGAGAGGCGACGTTCATGATACCGAAAAGATATTTTACAAAATGAGACAAGCTGGATATGTTTGTCGAATTCACCAGTTCCAGTGTCTTATTCAGGCCTATATCAATGCCAAAGCTCCTTGTTATGGAATTGCTGATAGAATGAAAGCTGACAATGTATTTCCAAATAGAGTATTGGAAAACATGTTGTTTCAATCTGATCCATTTAAGAAGACACTTCTGACTTGTTGAATTGATGATATCCTTATTCTTGACAAAAGTGGCTCTAGTTTCTTTTTTGTACTTATCAAATTATACATTAGTTGCAGGATGAACATTTGACAAATATCATCAATTTCCTCTTTTTTAACTGGATTCTCCATGATGCTGTTCTTGCTCTTCACGGATTTAAGATGTATCAATGTCATTATTGTAACTTGTGTTTCGAAGAAAAGGGGTTTATATGAACCCGATTTGTCGGAATATTACATTTTACCTACAAGGTCGAAATGATTTTTTATGTATAAATAGTAGATGTTTGAATTCTGTTTTAACATTTTTATGTGTTTACGTCTTTAAATACTGAATTCCCTCTGTGAAAAACTTGGTGGAATGTGTTTAGGGTCCCATTACTATATCTGTGTCAAATGCAAATTCAATCACAAAACCAACAACATACCTACTGTTGTCCCCCTAGTGAGGTCTCGGGAGGATAATGTGTATGCAAACCTTACCGATACCATAGGAGAAATCTCCAACTAAATTTGTTAAGAGAGAAAGATAAAAGTGGAAGCTAGATTGGCAACCATGTCCAACACATTTATCTTTTATTAATCAGAAAAAAGAGCAAAATGAAATTGTGATTAAACTAAAATGAACAGGTTATGTCAAAGTAGGAAAGCCTCTCTATGTCTTGTAAGATTAATAGGTACCATTAACTTTATCAACAGCCATGCATCAAATCAGTCTCGAAAACGTTCTAGAAGCCTCTAAAAATACATGGAAAGCATAGAGATTAAGAAACGTGAAACCACCCAAGATATTTCAATTCTCAAACTTCCAGATTCAGACAGCCAAACACTCACCAATAAAGATGGAACAACAGTTTCCTCAGAAAACAAAACCAAAAAAAAGAGCTTCTGTCGCAATTCTTTTCGAAGAGAACAAGTACGCTAGTAAGATGTGTATGTCTTCATCTTTCTCTGTTCCAAGTGTAAGCCAGCTCAACTTGAAATTGTGACTCCATATTGTACCAGCGGAACAACAAAAACTGGTGTGCAGAATATAGACCAGAAGCGCGTGAAGGGCTCCAACTTCTTTCGTTTCTTTAAATACCTTTCTCTGAATGTAAGTAAGTTTTGTGTCATGACCAAGTTAAATTAAGATAATCTGCTATACAGAATCTCCGACCTTGATATCAGACTTGAGCAGATGTTGAACTTCTCAGAGCTGCTTCACGTTCCTGACACCGATGCTCTCTCTGAAATAGATTTACAAAATAAGTTCAGTAATATGGGAGAAAGAGGACAAAGACAAAAGTAATACTCTGAACTTAGAGCATTATCAATCTTCAAGAAAACACCTACTCAAACTCAAAGGTGTTCTTTTACTAAAAGCAACTTTTCTCTGGATCAGTAACATAATCAACTGCTGCACTAAAGCTGCAGCAGCTTTGAACATGTTGAAGATAATTTTATGATTTATGTGAAGATGGCAAAATGACTCAAGTTCTATGAAAAAAGTGATATAAATAGCAAAAACCTTTATTCAAATAAATGTCTCATCATGGAAAATAGCTTGGCCAGAGAATCATAAACATGGAAGAAATGGAAAAGCACTAATAGAAGCTTATGATTGCTGAAACGAAGAATTGTCTTCAGTTTGATTGTGGATATGATGGTAACAAGTCTTACTCTTCTTTCCCAATATGGATGGAAGCACACGAAATCATAGACAGGAGTTATAGTTGAGACCAAAACAACGTTAAGTCCAGTAAACAGCAGGAGACCTGCCATAGGTCGAGCTCTGTGAGGCATTGTTGGTATATGATGACTTTGAACTCTGTAAGACACAAGCCCACATTCAGTATACAAAACTGAAACTCAAGTACGAAAAGTAAAACTATCTAAATCACATTCAGTACTGAATAATTGCACACACCTCTATTCAGTACATGGGCACAAACAAATCCATGTAATGTAGGTTGATTATATCCTATAGGTGATAGCATGAAACCATTTTATTTTTTTTGCAAAATAAGCAGTAATCATCATCAACAAGAATGTACCCGGTGTAGTCCCACATGGTGGAGTAAGGGAGGGTAGAGTGTATCCAGACCCTATCCTACCTCACAAAGGTAGATAGGTTGTTTCCGAAAGACCCCAACTCAAGAAACACATATCAAAGAGCATACAAAAGAAAAGAGATACTATAACAAGTACTAGAAGTAGCATTACATAGCATACAATAAAATGAAACAGTACCAACAACAAATTAATGCGAAACCAAAACACAATTTTTAGGAACATAAATCGAAGGTTAGGAAACTATGCAAAATTGCCTATACTATTTTATAAGGAGAAACAGGTATGGGCATCAAACTACCATCAAGCCTAACACGCAGGAAAACAACACAACACTCAACTATCTACTAAACTTCTACCGTAATCCGCCACTCCAAATCATGTGTATAAGCTAAAAATGATGGGCTTTTTTTCAATTTTTAGAAGTAAAAAACAAATAAAGTTTCCCTCTTTTTATTTCACGTCAAGGATTACGTTTCTATTAGCAAAAATAGCTAACCCAACTGCTCTGAATTCTAATTTCTATTCGCAAAAATAGTTACACTGCAAAAGCTTAAATTTAATCTTAAATCAGCTCCCACTAACTAATAATCCAAATCTAGATAAACAAAAGATAATTAACTTGAACAATTAATAAGAGATTAACGGAACTCACAACTCAATTTCGCCGGAGAGTCGCCGGAGAGAGGCGGAAATCAGTTTTCCGATAAATTAGACGGAGAAATTCGCAGGCAAGTGGTAAATGGTGTTAGACTTGGGCCTAATCTTAATTTCTAAAATTGGGCCAATGTTCATTAAAATTTGGGCTTCCTTCTAAATGGGCCCAGATTCATGTTTTAATGATGAAATTTGTGTAAAAATTTATGAAATTTCCTAAAAATTAAATGTTTCTCCAAAAATACTAAGAAAGAAAGAAAAAGTTAATATGTTATCTCTCATAAAACGATTAAGATGATATGCACTAAACACATAGGTATACGAGATGTTGTGTGCCCGTGCAAGGCACGAGCCCATGCCCTACATTATTGTGTGTTTATGTCATTTAATTTGTATCGATTCAGTTATTAATTTAGCCGTTAGAATTTCATTTTTCTTCACTACAAATCATATAGAAAACAAAGTAACAAACCAAATAAATTATGCATATGAGTTGACAGAATGCATCCAGCTAAAAAGCAAACACAGACACTTTACAACATAACTAAGAGTTTGAGACAGTGAGAAGTAAAAGTATAAAATCAACCCTAAGTGAAGGCCCTTATATGTCAAAGGGTATAATTATAATTTATTACATTGGGTTATAGATTAGTTTGTTAAAAAAAATCTCAAATTATCATAGAACTGATAACTCGATAAGAAAAATCTTGATTATCTTATAGCTTTAACATTTGCAGTTCATTTGGTACAAAATTGCTTTTAAAATATATTTTTTCTAGGCAAGCAGCAAAGTTTTTTCACTTCATAGGGAAGCATGTCCCTCTTTAAATGACCTTCTTGAGTAACACTTCATAGCCTAAGTCCAAACCATAATCTTTGCAAAAATGTATTCTAGATTTGCGTTTGACAGCATTCCGGATGTACTATCCAAGGCCGCCACATTCCGAAATGTTCATATTGACTATCAATCTTCTTCTAGAAAGATTTAACCCAAGATCTTGAGGTCTTAGACCCTTCTTTGATTCTACTTCTTTGATTGCTCTAATAAGGTGAATTTCCTACCGAAGGATCAAGGATTACCTCAATTAAAAACAAAGTATCAAGTGTAATTTCACAAGTGGAGTCCGAAGAGATTATCTCAAGCAAAATGATATTTCTTCCTACGCTTGAGGAATCACCAAATACCAGAAGTTGACACATACCAATAGTTAGCCGAACAACTTTTGCCTCAGATTTTCTCCAACACAGGACTAATTCTGTAATTAGTTTGTACTAAAAGATAATTCTAAGAAAACACCATTAGGGTATTTCCATCAGCTATTTTCTAAAACAAAATACATGAGAAAGTTAATCAGAAGAGTCACCAAACAATAATCATCCAAATCAGTAGTTGAAGTATCAATTTATATATAGTCACATAAACATACTCAGGTAAGAATCCATGAAAAATTTACCCACAAACAAGTGCAATAAGAGAAAATAATAGGAGAAAACAATTATCACGAAAGAATAGACGAAAAAATGGTCACCTGATTACAACTCAAGATGAAGATGGAATATGAGAAGAAGACCAGAGCGCTTGAGCATAGGAAGAACCAGATAGTCGGTAAAGTAGCATTGCAGATGCAGCACACACTTGAAATTTTCAATGGAAAAGACGGTGAAATACCTAAAATACCCCAGACAACCAAAGTGACATTGACCAAAATACCCTTGGGCATCTGAAGAATCCCACACTTATTAAAATGAGGTAACTAATAACCTATTAAAAGACACATAGTGTAAATGGAATCGATAAATCAATCACTTCTTAAATAACAGAAAACAATCAGGTTGAAATTATATATTTTCTAATAGATAGTTTAAAATACATAGAAAGTATTAGAACACTCCAATAATATACATAAAAACACTTATGAAAGCATGTAGAAATTGAAAAACACTTGATCAAAAGTACATATAAAGAAAAAAAATTAATATGTTATCTCTAAAAAATAAATAGTTGATGACATGTAATAGACACAATGAGATATAAGTAAACTATTAAAAGACATGTAACATAAATAATACCAATAAGTCAATCATTTCTTAAATGAAAAACAAAATAGTCAAGTCGAAATCATGATTTTTCTAATATATGGTTAAAATTACATAGAAAGTATTAACACTCCTCAATAACAACACAAAAACGTATTTTTCTGAATGCCCGTAGAGATTGAAGAAACGTTTCTTCAAAAATATAAACGAAGAAAGTAAAAAGGTTAATGCACTGTCTTTCACAAAACGACGGATAATATGCAATGAACGTGTTAAGATATAAACAAGCTATTAAAAACACATAACGTAAATGACATCGATAAACCAATCATTTCTTAAACGACAACAAAATCACATTGAAATCATGACCTTTCTAATATACAATTTAAATCACATAGAAAGTACTAGACACCACAATAACAACACAGAAATCATGTAGAAACTGAAGAAACACTTATTTATAAACAAATAAAGTGAAAAGCTAATGCGTTGTCTCTCACAAACGATGAATGGCATGCAATGGACACGTTAAGATTAAGTAAACTATCAAAAGACACGCAATTTAAATGACAAAAGTAAATCAACCATTTCTCAAATGACAAAAAGCAGTCGCGTCAAACCCATGATTTTTCTAATATATAATTTAAATTTATTTAGAACACTTCAATAACAACACAAAAACACTTATGAAAGTATGTAGAAACGGAAGAAACGCTTCTTCGAAAGTACAAAAAAAGAAAAAAAATAACGTATCGTTTCTCACAAACCGCTGAATGACATGGAGTGCACACGTAGAAGATACAAATAAATTATTAAAAGACACACAATGTAATTGATATCAATAAACCAACCATTTCTTATAGAAAATAATCACGCAAAAATCATGTCTTTTCTAATATATAGAAAAGTATTTAACGATAACAACAACATCAATATCAATCACATACCCCAATATATTTTTACATATGAAATTTGAGAATGATAGAGTATATGTAGATTCTATTCTTACCCGGTGAAGATAACAAAATTATATTCGAAAGATTATAACAGTCACCAGAATTATTTTCAAATACTAGGAGTCTCAATTTTTTTGTACAAGAAAAGTGAGAATTTTTTTTATTTATTATTAGAAGTATATATATAAGAAGAAAAAAAAAGGCCAAAACTTTAAATGGAAAAAAATTAATAAATTCTTGAGAAGACCTGGAATTAGTTCCCTCCTTCCTCAAGCTCGAAACAAACTATTCTCCCTGCCGCCTTTGTATGATCAAGAATCCTGCTAAAACTCAAAAAAATAAAAAAAATCCATTCATGAAAGCCTCAAATATTTTTTTTTAGCTTAATTCTCATCTGGGTATCTGTCAAAATTGTTAATTTTTCATCTGTTTGGAAAACCCAAAATTCTCTATGTCAGGTTTATCATTTGGGTTATCAAGATTCAACTTTTTCTTCTAAATGTATTGAATTTCTGCTTTCATTGTTAGTAATTCAAGCAAATTTCATCTGGGTCAAGTGTAGATTGGCCATTTATTGGCAATGTTGAATAATTTGGAGGATGGGGGAAAGAATCCTTCAGAGGTTTCAAGAGGGGGTAATGGTAGAGGGGGTGGGGGTACAAGGTCATGGGGAACTACTGTTTCTGGTCAATCGGTTTCTACTAGTAGCAGTATTGGGTCTCCATCGAGCAGAAGTGAAGCGGCCATGGCTACCCCTGCCAGTGACAACACTTTTCTTAGGCTAAACAATCTTGACATTCATGCTGATGATGCAGGATCTCAAGGGACAGCTGGGTGAGTCCTTCGTTGTTGTTTTAATGGTATCTGTTTGGTTTTCATGAAGATAAAAATGGCAACTTTTTGAAGATGGGAACTCTATTTAGTGTAGAAGTTGATTCAGGATGTATATGTGTGTATGATGAAAATTTGAAGCTAAATTTTAAGAATATGTATAGATAATAAGTGGCGTGCAGACTTTAAATCATGGATTAGCTTAGGATTCTGTTGTTTTTACTAGTCTATCCGATAATTAAATGAAATGCTAGTCTAGAGGAATTACGGTGAACTGCTAAACCGTGAGATAATGGGACTTGGATTAACTAGTTATCTTGAGTTTAAGAAGCATAGACGTGGCTTAAAGAGTGAACTAATGGATAACAAGGACACTTGTAAATTGATAATGCTTGAACATTAGGAGAAATATGTCAGAAGAAGAAAGTGCAAAAAGCTTATAGGAATTCAGTTCTATAGTGACACATTATATGTCTTTTCAACTTCGTAGCAATTTGATCTGCGACCATGTAAAGTGATGGTCTTACTAAGTTTGGGAAAACATGACCCTTTAATATTGTCTAAGAATAATAAGTGTTCATTGTTGTGGTTTAGACATCATACGCTGAGATGTTACACTTTTCTTCCCATTTGATGATTTGCTAGATTACAATGTCATTATGCGGTTTAACATGGAACTCACAATTGAGTCGCTAAAAGTGTATGTCAATAGTTTCTCTTACAGTAATGTTTCCTTACAAATACTTACCTTAACTTCTTGTCAGTAACAGGAAAAAGAAAAGAGCTCAGCGTGCTACTGGAGGGGATAAGAGTGGTAGAGGACTCAGACAGTTCAGCATGAAAGGTTTTTTTTTTAATCAGTTTTCATCTTCTTTTGGGTATTAAATTGGAGAAACGTCTAAACTTTTGCAATGAGGGTTGCTTTTATTTCACATATCATTTATTTCTTATGTTGCAACATGCAAGTATCTCTTATTTATTTGAGCTCTGGTATCACTGCTTCCTACTAATTACTAAGCTATTGTTTTCTTTCTACAGTTTGTGAGAAAGTGGAAAGCAAAGGAAGAACTACGTATAATGAGGTAAGTTGGCTTGAGAAAATTCATAATGTTATAAACATTAGGTGATTTTAAAATTTCTGATGTTTCCTTTATCTGTATCTTTATTTCACAAATCAATGCTATGATTCAGTGAATTCAGTTTAATAGTTGGGGCCTTTTTACTTGTCCAATTTCTATTATATATTCAATACCCTTTCTCGT